AAAGTGACTGTGGAAATTCTGTGTATTACAAAGTTGTATTGAGGAAGAATAAACTAGATTTAATTAAAGCTCCTCGGAAAGAATTTATACCGGAAATTAACAAACGGGCAGATAGGTAACAAATTGGTGTCAGAAAGTGGGATGGAAAATAAAAAAAGAAGAAGATGGGAACGAGAAGTGGCAAATCAAACTACAGCTTAACAGATTTGATGGCAGCAATACAAGAACAGCAAAAGAAACAAGAATAGAAATTACAGCAGTTGTTGAAGGAATGAGAAAAGAAACAAAAAAAGAGACTACAGCAGTTGTTGGAGGAAAAAGAAAAGAAACAAGAAGAAAGATTACAGCAGTTATTGGAGGAAAAAGAAAAGAGAGCATCTAGCAAACACTCGGACATTCGTGGGGTTACTTGATAATTCATGATCCTGCCAGAAACTCCAGCGCACATGCTCCCAGCATCACGTGACTTCTGCTGTCGTATCATTAAATAATAGTACTGCAAAGTAAAGAACATGTTTCTAGGCAGCCATGACTAATACAAAACGTGTTTCAACATGAAAACAATTATTCATTATTTAAATAAATCATTTATAATTAAATCATCATAAAAAGGATGCTAAAGACTAATCCATTAGCTAATTAATTCATCCTAAACTGGACATTACATTTCCTTATCATTAATTAGTCCAACAACGACAATGCAATAATTAAAACTTACTCAATCAAGTGATTAAAGATTTTCAGTGCTAATTTATCATTTAATTACATTTCCTGTCCTAAAAGGACTATATCTAAACTCACTCTGATGCATACAATACATGACTATATGTTTAAATCGCCCTAAAGGAGTGGAATGAGTAGTGCCCTGGTGGGCTTAATTGTTGGAGTTTCAATTAAAACTACTCGTTACACCAAATCTATGTATTGTAGGATTTGTCGTGACAAGTGGAGCCAGAAGTTGCTAACTAGAGGTAGTTTATAGTTAAACTAAAGAATTAGAGTCTCAGGCCAATGGTGAACAATTACAATAACTTTTATTAATCATTAATTCATCTGACTAACAGTTAATAAAGACAAAACTTCGTTTATGACAACCAACATAAAATGGCTTTTAACTCGATTGAAATACTTGTAATATCTTCAGTATACACTTTCATTAATACACATAGATATATTTCAACATAACATTTTACTAAACATTGGTATTAACTGACTGAGAGAGAATAGTAAAGTTTACTTACAATGGTGTTGTATTCGGAAATCGAATAATGTTAGAAACCTTCATGTTGCCCAAGAGAGTGACTTTTCTAGCTTTCAGAGGAACTCTTTCTGAATTCAGGAGAACTTCTGATTCCTGGAGGAACTTCTTCTTTTCATTCTCTGACATGGGTTTATAAAGCAAATTTTCTATGTATTGTTACGTTTCTGTATGTTTGTTTGTTAATTTTTCTACAATACAAGTCCTTTCTTAAATAAAACTTGTTTATTCTTCCTCAATACAACTTTACAATACACTAAATTTTCACAGTTACACACACTATAGTTCACAACAATTCACTCACTTTCTACCGTGCTTGACTCAATTGTCCGTCTCTATCTCCACCTGTCACCAATTATAGTTCCAATCTCTGTATCTGCTATCCTCAGTTCCCACCAACCATAACTGCTGTCCTTGGTTCCCCACTCTCTGTCCTTCTCTCCCTGTCTAGTGCACTTATATACGATAATACCGCCTCTTATAGAATCTTCTAGGCACTCAACACGTGCTACCAGTGTCACTTGACTTCCGCTGTCGTAACACATAGCATTTATCGCGAATCTTCTAGAATACTCGTCACGTGACCCCCACTGTCGTAACAGTATTATCTTGATCACCTAAATAGGACACAGCATCACCCGCAAGTAGTCCTATGATTCTATTGGATGCTGTAGGGAAATCTCCGGGCTATTCTAAAACCATAACCAGAACTCTCAAGTAATTGGTTATAGTTAGGTTGTGTTAGCTGGTCACCTATTTACTTGTGCTGCTACACCCATGTGCTGCAAGTGATATCACCTCAAAGTACCGATATCACTCTTCTAAACCAAACTTTTCTGTAGCTTTCATAGTTCTAATGGGTTGAGGTCAACCATTTGTCAACCTGTCACAAGTTCTAGTACATTCATCTCGTTTCTAGGCAATGCTTCTTATGTAGCTTAACCTTGTTTTTCTAGTTAATCCACGTTTCTTAGTTGTTTACAAAAACACAGCTACTAATTTAACTTTATTCTTAAACTTTCTAAATCAATAAAAGTCCGAAAAACGGCAAAGCAATTGTAAATTCCCTCGAAAATAACCTAATTGCTTCACTCCTCCTCTCTTAAAAAATTTACCATCTAATCATTATCTTCAGTGTTCATGCAGATACTGATGGTAATCACAAAACAGACTTCCATGACAGTCTAAATGTCAATATGCTGGACAACCGTATTCCTCGAGATCGATACACTGGATCCTCAGTTGGCATTGTAGTATCCGCACCTTCTCCCTTCCTTTGGTGTAAATTTTTATGTAATCTTCTAGGAGTTTCTGCTTAATACAAAGGAGATCCATAAACGAGTGATCTCCA